AAGCCAGCAAATCATATAAAATACCTAGTAATCATAATAGACAGCCAAATAAAATGGGACAAACAAATAGAAAGCTTAACGAAGAGATTAAGATGTCTTATACCAAAATTTAAATTTTTTAGGGAAATTCTTTCTGATAAAGACTTATGCACCATATACAAAACGTTAGTACAACCGTTGTTAACTTATGGAATTTTAGCATGGGGACCGGTGTTGAATAAATACTACAGGAAACTAGAAATAACTCAGAAATGGATTCTTAAAATCATGTTCCACAAAACTAACACCTATCCAACCGATATGATATATAAGGTATCCAAGATATGTGATTGTAGGCAACTCTATTTTGAGAGTGTGTTCACATATATTACAAAACATAAGCATTTATTAAATTTCCTCCCACATGACCATCACACCAGATCCAAAGATCATTCAGTACGCATACCAAAGTCTAAGAAGACCATAGGTCAGAGGAGTTTCACTTTCCTAGGACCAAAAATATATAACTTAATCCCCCCTCAAATAAAAGATATTAAAAATAGAAGGTTATGAAAAAGCATCTAAGACTGTGGATTTTGGACCAGCATAGGCTCAAGATTCATCAAGCGATTGATATCAAAAATATCTACTACTGCTGAAAGCGGAAATCTCTCTCAAGATTATTGAAATTTCAAAATGAAAAAAAAAATGTATAAATCAAACAGATTTGAATTCTTACCTCCTGAATTATTGCATTTTATGACTTATTTTTACCAATTTTTGTTCTTGTCTAATCACCTAATATTGTCTTTTGTTTCAATATTGTCTCTATCCCGATTACGTCTACGTCCCGATTTTGCGTCTCCGTCCCGATTGTGTCTTTTTAAAAATTTTACCAGGACTTGTCTAATAAATTTTATATATATATATTTTTTTTTTGTTTTTTTTTTGGTCTTAAGTTATTTATACATGAGCTCATGCCCAAGCACAAGTTTCTGCGAAACTTTTTTGGGTCCATTCGTTTATTGTATAATATTGTCTTTCATCTACTACTGCTATACTTTTTCTTTTGCAATAAACTTATTATTATCTACCATCAGTCCACGTGCATTAATGCATATCATGAAGAAGTTTGTTCAATATCTGCTTCCTTTTAGTGGGAAGGCATTGCGGAGAAACACCACACACTCCTCCAGCTTTGCTTGTAGCTGTTTTACAACTGGTATCGCCGGAAGCCACCCCTCTGCATTAGCAAAAAACCCCTGATGTGAACAGGTAAAATATCATTTTAATTATTTATATATTGATTATTGCTGACTAAAATTCTTAGTGTACTCGTTTTTGTTTGGCATTTAGCGTGTTTAAATATGAGGCAGTGCCTACATGGCACCATCTATTGGGCATTAGATAACGTTGATCATGATTTTGATTTTGAGCTGCCATAACTTTATTTTAGAACAAGGGATACATTTCTAAAGGTATATCACTTTAGTATATTTATTTCTTTATTCCCAACAGGTAACACCCAATTACAGAAAAAATACAATTAAGTTACATAATTAGCAATAGCTGTAACGCCAAACACAAAAAAAAAATTAAAAAAAGAAAAAACAAACTCTCACTGACAAAGGTACCAGTCTCTGTAGCACTTCACAACAAAGTTCTTTCTCACTATCAAAAAATAAGTCACAGGAACTGCAACTGAATTGAAACATGTACAAATCATATTTACCGGAGATCTAGACAATAAATTAGTATTATTATATAGAAAGTAATTTGAGCACGATTTCCCAACCTAGGCACACGAAAATTAAGCTTACTTAATATGACTGAACAATCAACTTGATTGTTTATGATTTTGTACAAAAGTTGTAGCGCTGATATGTCGCGTCTAAGATACAATGACTCTATATCTCTTTCAGGATAATTACCATAACATTTGTAATACAAATACTTTAAAGCCTTACGCTGCACATATTCAATACTAACCCAACATTAATCGTAAGAGAGTTTCTGTCATCAGCATAAAGTAAATGCATACCAGGCAATTCCAGCGGCAGATCCTTGATGAACAACACAAAAAACAAAGGACCCAAATTGGATCCTTGGTGCACTCCAGATGTTGCTGTATAAGAATTAGATTTAAAACCACCAAACTCAATGTACATACAGATTTCTATCAAAAAAATATGATCTGATCAACTTCAATAAAGATTTAGACAACCCAATCATTTCAAGCTTAGAAAGAAGCAAGTAATGATCTATCTGATCAAAGGCCTTTTGAATGTCGGTATAAATGACATCCAACTGACCCTGGTCATCTAATACCTCAGAGATAGTTTGAGTCAGACATGTCACATTTGTGACTGTTGATCTGCCAGCAACAAAACCATGCTGGTTAGGAGATAAAGTACATTTGACAGAGTTGAAAATGGTATTATAAATAATAACCTCAAAAATCTTACCAAAATTGCAAAGTATCGCAATCTGCCTATAGTTACAAATATTAGTTCTATCGCCACTTTTAAAGACAGGACATACCTTGGTCATTTTCCAGATAAGAGCATGTTAATAATATCATATTGTAGATCATGCAAAGCGGTTTTGCCAATACATGAATACAATCCTTTATTAAAAAACTTGGCACACCATCATAGCCTGAAGTCATTTTATTCTTTAACTTTCAGGAAGCATGAATTATATCCGCTTCACTTACAGTGTTCAGAGATATGTTCATACTAGTTAGATTTGAAGTCATGAACTCAGAATTAGAAGAATCAGAATTTGTAAACCCAGTTGAAAATTTTTTTGCAAAAGCATCGACTATGTCCTGTGACGAGGTACAAGTGTTTTCATTGAACGTCATGTTCCCTGAAATTCTAGAGTTTTTCCTTTTGTATTTACAAATGACCAAAGTTAGTGGGATCCTTATTGATCCTATCCTCAGCATTTTTAATGCAAGCTGAATATGAGACTATAATTTGATTTTTAATCATAGCTTGAAGTTCTTTGAATTTTAAATAACAGTGGCTTGAATGGGTTGCTTTGTACTTATTCCTGAACCTATCCTTTTCTCTTATATTTGAAATAATTTCCTTTGTAAACCAAGGAGGATATGAACGAGGATTCATTTTATATTTAGGAATGTTGTTCTTGAAAATTGCTCTTATGATTGAATAAAAATAATCACATGCTTCATTTACATCATTCATTTCACGAATTGGAGCCCAATCCGCAATTAAAAATGCGCTGTACATATCAATATAATTTGCCCGCCGAAAATTGAATTTTTGATTATCACCAAACTCAAATCCTTGCATAGTGTCACCAACACAGAATTCGATTATTATAGCAGGATGATGAAAATCCTCCCTAACTAGTGGTAACTCATTCCTGACAACTGCAACATTGAAATTAGCTAAAACTAAGTCTAAAAGTCGGCCGCTATGATTTCTAACATCGTTGTAATTTATAAGGTTTGAAAAAGAGCAAAACTGGTTTAAACTTTGACATTTACGATCATTTTTGTCTAAATTAAAAGCAGGGGTGTTAAAGTCACCGAGAATTAAAATTTGGCAAGAATCAAAAATACCATTGAATGTTTCCAAGGCATCCAGGTAATACTCAAACACCTCCGTCGTTACAGAAGGTGGGACAGGGTAGATAACAAGAAGCTTATGCTGAAAAAGAATTTTAATTGCTACTGTGTCAATGAGAGGAAATGCTGCATTAAGAACATCAACATTGATAGCCATGACATGAAAAGTGTTCTTTACAGCTATCAAAAAACCACCACCTGTAGACGGATGTGTGGAGTTTAGATTTCCCTTTGCTATACTTTTCTTACAAAAAAATGTACATGGTTTTTCTTCAAGTTTGAGTGTTTTCAATGTGTAATTTTGTCTCAGACAGACTAGAGAGTATATTTTTAAGCAGTCTTTCTCTCTAATGGTTTTTTATGGTCATACAAAAATTTTGGAGACCGATTGAAGGTTCAATGAGTGGCCTTGAAGAAGATATGTTTGACGGAAAACCAACTAAGGGAGAAAAACCACAAGAGTTTTTTTCCGGCACAATACTGAATCACTAAGAAAGAAAGATAATAGGTTTGAAATTATACAAACAATAAGCTATGAGGTTTACCAAAAGAAAATCATTGAAAAGGATTTGGCCTAGAAACTAGCACTCTACCATTAATAAAGAGACATTCAAATTACTAGTAAGCGATCAAAATATTAAAAAAAAGGTTACGAGATTTTGGCACGTGACAATAGCTGGTGATGTCATATAATGAAATTAATTGACCTAAGTTCCAGGGCACCGTGGCTACGATGAGAGCTTAAAGAATGTTTGTTAATGTCTTTGAGCTGCCCAAGGCTAGCAGAACAGGAAGCAGTCTCCTCAGCTATATTGTTCCACAGTCTAGAGTGAGGAGGACATGTGGAGAAAAGTACTTCTTAGTCATAGAATTAATTTGGGGCCGCGTTGGCAGAAGCTCAAGTACCAGGACAACACGGCTACTATGAGGAGCTTAAAGAAACATTGTTATTCCGATTTTTGAACTACTCAATGTTAGTGGAGCTGAGATAAGCTTCATCAGGTAGATTGTTCCGCAGTATCGATACCCTAGGTGCAAAGGACCGGTCGTATCGGCGAGTTCTTGATGTACGAGAGCAGCACTGAGGAGCAAACCCCGTTGACATAGCGAAATGATCCCAAGACTGTCCATTAGAGAAGAGTAATCGGTCAGTCGGACAGCATCGAGAATGATTATTGTAGTCGGGGCGGCAGTACCCCATACATGTGAGCTGTACTCCAGACTGGATCTTATATGGGCTTTTTACAAAGTGATGAGGTTATGTGCTCGAAGATAGCAGCAATGTTTGGATTAATTTAATAGAGATATGACCGATTTTATACAGCAGTTCGTTAAAATGGATGAGAAATGGATCCACCACTAAACGTTAGTAACAGAACATCAGTCGCAGCAGTAGGTGGAAGCCGGTCGTTCAGCGCTAAAGGTACGGTTTCGTTGGAGCGGCTCGCGACTGCGATTGAGTCGCAGCAACGACTGCGACTACAGTCGCGGCACTGGTTTTATACAATTTATGCATATACGGTTTGGTTGACGCCGTTCAGTCGCAGACCGCTACGTTCGAGCCGCAGCCGTTGCGACTCGACTGCTCCTGGACCAGTCAAATCGCAGTCGTTCAGTAAAAATGGAGAAATTCAATGCAAATGAGGATGATATATTGATTGACGAGGTTCAAAAATATCCCGCTATTTTTGATTACGAGCATGAAAACTACAAAAATTTTATATGCAAAGAGAATGCCTGGAAAAAAATAGCATGTTCGGTAGGAAAAAGCAGTAAGTAACATTAATTTACTTTATTTTCTAATTATGAACGTTTGTTTTTCCTTTTTTGGCTCAGTTTCATAGCCATCAAATAATTTATATATAGTCTATTCAAATTCAATAAAAGTTCGATGTAAACAAAATAATGTACGTTCGAGTCACGGGAACTGCAATACCGGCGACTGGTGATCGATTAAAGACTGGCGCTGTCCAAGGGGTTGAGTTACCTTTATCACTCGTATTGAATATGGGAGAGGAAAGACAAATGGTTGCTTGGATTTTGGCCTGAAAAATTTCGATCCTCCTGCATAGAGGGCATTTATTGCTTGCCAATCAATAATACATGGCCATGCCGTCACGGCATGCTGCAATCATCCGATATCGCTTGTTTACATCCTACTTTGATTGAAATTGAATACACTCTAGTTGGGAACACCATGTACCGCGTATTTATTTGTTCTATTTTGAAACTCATTTTATTCTAGGAATTTTTATAAAAAAACAAATTTTCATGTAAACATTTTTTATTAGGTTTTTCTTGTGATCCCTGTTTATAATAACAATATACATTGAAATCAGTATAAGGTTGTAATATCATAATAATGGATTACTAACATGTACAGATTGTCTTATACTTTCGAAACCTGCTGATTTTGCCATTCGACAATCCCTTCCTGTGAGAAAAACCTCATAAACTCATCTCTCACATGGAACCCTTCAACGTTTTGATATCCCCCCGCTCCTGTAAGATTCCGAAAAACATTCGAGTTTTCTTCTTTTGAATCATATTCATAGTAGGGAACCCCTTTTCTTTCCAAATATGCTTCTCGCAATAAATTATGTAAACAACAGGCGGCTAATATCAAGTCATCACATACCTCTGGTTTTACAGCTATAGGAGTATAAAACACTCTGAACACCTGAGATAGCAAACCAAAAGCATTTTCACTCACTCTTCTTGCCCTACTCAAACGGTAATTAAAAATGGCTTTTGATTTATCAGCAGTGGCTGCCAATTTAGTGAACGGTTTCATTAAGTGTTTATCCAAACGAAACGCCTCATCTCCGATAATTACATGCGGCAATACTTTATTTGATTTAGGCAATTTTTGATCTGCCGGAAAAAAATTCTGAAAGTGCATTACTTTTTTTCCAAAAGCCGATTTATTAAATATTGAGCTGTCACCTTCTTTTCCGTACGACCCTACATCTAAAGCAATAAACTTACAATTTGCATCAACTAAAGCAAGCATAATAATGGAAAAGTATTCTTTATAATTAAAGTATAAAGATCCAGATTTTGCTGGAGCAAATATTCTAACATGCTTGCCATCCAAGGCTCCAATACAGTTCGGAAAATCCCATCGTTCCCAAAATTCTTCAGCTTTTTTGGTCAATGCTTCCTTTGTTGGCGTTGGAATAAAAATGGGCACCAATTGTTTACATATTGCTGATAAAGTTTCTCGGATGATTACACTTATGTAACTGTGGGAGATTCTAAAAGCAAATCTAAGAGATCTGAAAGACTCCCCAGTTGCCATATACCTAAAACAACATAGAGACTTAGGACACACGTCATGTTTCCAAAAAATATCATAACGCCTGTCTGGAGATTGCCTGCCCAAAAATAATATTGAAGAACGTATTGTACCCTCCTTAAAACTAATAATGCATTTTTGAATTCTTTTAGATAACCAATCTCCAGAGATGCACATCTGTTGAAAAACAATATAATAAAAATTCTTTAATTGGACTTAAATCTAATTCAAAGGGTGTAAGTTGAAAAGTATGTTTTGTTTTTTTTTTTTCGTAGGTGACGATTGCAAAAGGCGATGGAGAAACATCAAGGATACCTATTTTAGAAACAGAAAAAAACGTAAATTGGGGACCGGTTCAGCAGCATCTGAACGAGTAATAAAGTGGACCCTTTACGATCGGCTTTCCTTTCTGGATGTTATTAAGCATGAACGAGAATCAAAAAATACCTTGACGGAAGAAGAGGAAACTCCAGCTTACAGCGAGACGGACTACGAAACCCAACCAACCGATGAATCAACATTAGACGATTCTGATTTACTAGACGAATATTCAACCCCATCCACATCTCGTCGAACTTCAGACGCAATGAAATTGAATAAAGGGCTGAATAAGAATCCTTTTCAACAAAACTGTGGGAAAAGATCGCAGCCCCGAGTGTCAAAACTAAATACCATGGCTCAATTTGAAGAGAGAGCTCAGAAGCGAAGGAGCTCCTTGAATCTATCCACAAAAAAAACATTTCAAATTCAGAAGATGACGTAGATTTGTTCATGAAAAGCATTAGCTTCACCGTTAAAAAATTTCCACCTGCTGAACTGAATGAAGCAAAACTTGGTATCCTAAAACTCGTAAGCGATCTTCAGCTCAAATTAGCAACACAAAATTCATCTCAACAAACTCCAGCACATAGTTCACAACCAACCTCACCTGCCGATAGATCAAATTCACATTCTTTGGGTACAAATCAATATCAACTAAATGGACCTTTCAATCTGACTGAGACTACGTCACATACTACTGCTAGTACTAGTCAATATAAACTACAGAATGGATCTTTTCATCTGGCTGCGACTGAGTCGGATAATACTGCTGGTTCATATTTTAAAAGCTATAACCCAGAACAACAGAATTCATCAATTTCAAATGTTTCTGGATTCATGGCCTCGGAGCAAAACTCGGAATACGAACTACGATACCAGCAATTAAATTAGTTACATTAGTTAGTTTTGGTTAGATATGTTGTATTCTAAGCTCATAATATATTTTGTGTTCTAACTGTATCTTTGTTTTTGCTCAATTTTTTTCTTTCCTACCTTAAAGTTAGCGCCAGCTTTTCCTCTGCTGTTATTGGACACTTTACACAATTCGTTCCAGGCTTTTCTATATCCTCTTGTATGAGTGACAGAACAAAATCAAATTGCTCGGGATTTAACCGGAAAAATTCTCTAAATTTTTTTTCGTCCTCTTTTAAATGTCCGTTTATGAGTAGACTAAAAAATCCTTCTTCTGTACGTTTTTGGAATATATCGTGTTTTTCACATCTTTGTTTTTCTAATAACTTCAGTTGTAGCCATTCATCTTCTTCCTCTTCTTCTAAGAGAATCACACTTAACAGATCACTATTATTCATTTTCTACGACTTAGACCTTCCACATCATACAGCAAGATCTTTTAAACCAATCTAAATCGCAATCGCTTTCATTTAGAGACGCACTAAAATAAAACACTACATTGCGGCTGCGACTGCAGCCAATCGTAGTCGCGAGCCGCAGCCGCTCGAGCCGCACCAACGAAACCGTACTTTAAAGAAGAGAAATCGATTGGATATGTCGGAAAGCTCATGGTCAGTGTTCTGGGATGCGAAAGGTATTACTGTTACTTTGGAAAGCATATAATAATTACAGATGGATACTCTCAATTGCAAATAAAACTGTTTGCTACGCGGAGGACACAAATATTGTGGTCAGCTAAAAATATTTGTGACACGACAAACTCATCTCACATATAGAAGGTATTCACTTCTTAGAAAAAAATTATACAGTGTATGGGCGGAGTGTAACATCAAACGCACTATTTTTCAAGCGTTCCATACTAACACTTCCTTGGCTGTATACAGAGTGTTCCTTAGTAATATGCGAATATTTAAGGGTGTGAATCTACGTGAAAAATTAATGTTAGTTTGCTTTATAAACTATGGTCCAAAAATGTTTCCTTACAAAAACTCGGGGTGATGAAGTTTTGGGAAAGAAATGAAAATTAATTAATATTTTCAGAACCGCTTCAGATATTTCACTGATACTTAGTACGTAGTGAAAGTTAATAAAGTTGCATATTTTACGTTGCAAAAATAATTTTTAGCCTTAACAGTGGCGTGCGTACGGGTATTGACTTCAATATTTTTTAAGAAAAGAATGGTACGCCAAATAAAAATTATTTTTGAGTTCCTCGTTCAATTTAAAACAAATGATCTTTCGTGAATTGTTTTCCTTCGATGCGCCATTTTTGAGTAAAAAAATAAAAATCGTTCTATTGTCCGAAAAAATGAATGTAATAATTGAGGAATGCCATTTAGCAATAAATATCTAGTTGCTCTGGAATATGTCACTAGCTTTTGACATCTGACAAGTCTCTGTTATTCAAATCTGTTCGCTGTGATATCTTTTTCATTATTTAGTTTTTACAAACTTGTTAATAATGGTGAATTATTCAAATGCAGAAATGGCGGATTTATCCCCAGAGATATCCCGATCGTGCTTTGCCAGATAGTCGAACCTTTTCTAATATTCATCGCCGTCTTGTTGAAACTGGTTCTCTCCGAAAAGGAATATCTGAAGGTAGATCTCTAAGTGTGGGAACACCTGAAATTGAGGAAGCAGTGCTGCACAAAGTCGAAGAACATATTGAAACGAGTACGAGGAGATCGCTAGACACTTAAATATTTGCCATCAAATTGCTAGGAGAATTTTAGAGGATTTTTTGATATATCCTTACCATATTTTTAGAGCACAGGCATTACATCCCATTGATTTTCCGAGGTGTGTGACCTTTTGTCAGTGGTATCTTCAAAAAATTACACAACCTCCGCAATTTGAATCAATAATTCTGTTCACGGACGAAGCAAATTTTTCTCGCCATTCAGAATTTCCAAAATAATCATTTGTGGGCAGAAGAAAATCCCTATGCCGTAACCGAAAGCCATTTCCAACACCAATTTTCGGTTAACGTATGGGCAGGAATTATTGGCAACCACTTTATTGGCTCGTTCTTCTTGCCGGGACGACTTGACTGACAGACTTACCTCAATTTTCTTCAACAACAGTTGTCTTTGCTGCTTGATGATGTTCCGTTAGTAATAAAAAACAATATGTGGTACATGCATGATGGTGCACCAGCGCATTTCAGTGTAGCGGCTCGTAATTATTTACCAACTGTTTATCCAAATCATTGGATTGGCCGCGGTGGGCCCCAAGAATGGCCACCAAGGTCCCCAGACCTCAACAGCTTAGATTTCTTTTTGTGGGGCTATCTTGAGACACTAGTGTACACAAGTCCCATTAACACTGTAAAGGAATTAAGAGAAAGAATAGTTGCTGCTTGTGAAAGAATAAAAAACACTCCAGCGATATTTCAACGAGTGCGCAATTCCATGAGAAGGAGGACGGAAGCATGCATACTAAGTGAATGTAATTTTTCCAATTAAATTAATAATAATTTTGCAAGTTAGACAATAGATCGGTTTTTATTTTTTTACACAAAAATGGCGTATCGACATAAAACAATTCAAGAGAGATCATTTGTTTTAAATTGAACGGGGAATTCAAAAATCATTTTTATTTGGCAAAAAACTATTAACGTACCATTTTTTTCTTAAAAAATATCAATATCAAAGTCAATACACGTACTCACGCCACTGTTAAAGCTAAAAATTATTTTTGCATTGAAAAATATGCAACTTAATTATCTTTCACTACGTATTAAATATCAGTGAAATACCTGAAGCGGTTCTGAAAATATTAATTAATTTCCATTTTTTTCCTAAAACTTCAACACCCCGAGTTTTTGTAAGGAAACATTTTTGGACCATAGTTTATAAAGCAAACTAGCATTAATTTTTCATATAGATTCACACCTTTAAATATTCGCATATCATTAAGGAAAACCCTATATATTTATTCTTATTGTGTGTAAAGAAAAATGAACACCTCTTCCCAAGAAATCAATCGTTTCATGATTTCAGCACAAGAGAAAAATGCAATCTACGTCAGTCGTTTTCAAGGTTGACCGTTGTCCTCTTTATATGGGGGGATCTGTTTGAATAAATATATAAAGGCTCATGGAAACAGTGATGATCTCACTGCATTTAGAAGCAAATTCTACTGAAGATTTTTACTCTCTAGCTGAATTTTCATTAGGTTTTAGAATTGTATAGTAATATTCATAAGCTCAACGATATTTTCTCATATACCAGTATTTTAATGTGTTTTTAACCAAGCAATTTTGTGTTTTATATATATATATTTTACTTCCTTACGTTCAAAAGCCATATTTCATTATATACAGGGTGTAAAGTTAGTAGTGGATCAACGGAAGTCAGGTGATAGAGGGTCTCAAAACCTATCGAATGAACCCCTATATGAGTGTATCATGTCACATTACAATCAATACCTTCTACATTTTATCAGCGTACTCGTATATCAACTGAATATTTTTTAAGTGCTACCCTAAATATTCGTATTGGTAACTTTCTAACTTCCATAGGGTGCATTGCAATGAAAAACTGATTGATAGGTAAAGCTTTTATAGAAAAGACTTGGTGGGTGGAAAAGCATCCAGAGATAAGTAATCTCTCATATCTAGATTATCGAGATGTGAAGTATGTACACAACTTGTTGTATAACATGCGCCCGGCATAATGTGGTTGCAACTGGTTATATTGGAAACAAACCTTAATCAGTCGGTTAGAATCCGACACTAAAGTTATTCTAATTCCATTTCATTCTCGATTTAATCAGCAAATGATATATTCGCCAACGCTGGCCAGAATAAAAAGCTTGTACCGACTCATAGACACGGTTGCACAATTCCAATAATGATTTGTATGCTAATTGCGAGTCTGGCTTAGAAACTATTTTAGTTTTGTTGAGGTACCTAGATATTGGCGTGACACGTATGATGTCACATTTAACCTAGACAAAATTATCGGAGGTTTGCACAACTGACACGGAACATGGGCGGGCAGAGGAAAAATTTCAACAGAGAAAAACACCCAAAAAAAATCACTTTCACGGTCAATGAGATTGGTTAAATTTTATAAAGTTTTGTGCATTTAATTCAGGGCTGAGCCCAAAGTTTTGTGGATTATCTACCCCTATAAACACATGCTTCAAATGTATACTAAGTGACATATAAACCCGAACACCCAGTTTAAATGGTTTTATTTTAATAAAATTTTGTATAAGTACTTAACGAAGCATAATAATATAGGCATCCACGATGGTCGTGCCAGGGTTAGAAGGCGACGTGGTGAAAGGAGGAATCCACAGTTTTTTGTTGAAAGACATGTTCATCACACTGTTGGAGTTATGGTTCGGGGTGTTATAGCTTATGGTTCCAGGTCACCTTTAATCTTCATCAGAGGTAACATGAACGCGCAGCGTTATATCCACGAAGTTCTAGAATCTCATCTTTTACCCTATCTTGACACCCTGGCAGATCCAACTTTCCAACAAGATAATGCCCGACCACATGTTGCAAGAGTCACAATAGACTTCTTTCAACATAATGATGTCACATTGTTACCATGGCCACCAAGATCTCCCGACTTATCCCCAATTGAGCACGTGTGGGATATGATGGGTAGGAGATTGCTCAATTTGCAACGTCCTCCTCAGACTCTAGAAGCACTTCGAGAGGAGTTGGTGGTTGCCTGGAATGAGATACCACAGGAGGACATTGACCACCTGATCAGAAGCATGCCTAGGCGCGTTGGAGAATGCGTAGCACATCAGGGTGCATCCACACATTATTAAAGGTCAAAGGGCTTTCAAGCAGTGCAATCATTTTGAAATTTTTATCATTTACTTATTATGCTTCATTAAGTACTTATACAAAATTTTATTAAAATAAAACCATTTAAACTGGGTGTTCGGATTTATATGTCACTTAGTATAGTTTATATCAAAGCTCGATTATAGACTATTCCGCCTTTAACCTACGAGCACACGGGGCTCGTGCCGGGGCCCGGCTTGATGGGGGTCACCGGCTTACGAGGAAGCAGCTGCT